GGCTGGTGCCCTGCCCAGCTCCTGGAAGGATGCTAGACAGAGGTAACTTGCCTCCTCTTCCCTGGACAGAGGTTCCGTGCCCCCCATAACTTGAGGGGGCACCAAAAACAATAATTTTAGGTCTGCTGTGTTAATAGGAACACATGCAAACATATAGTGGGGTTTTCTCAAATGTGAGTGCAAAAGTGGGAATACATTTTAAAGTGTCACCTATAAATGATTTTAAGTTTGTCACCATTTCACAGGTGTTCGTGGCTTGACATGTTTGGTATCTATTTGCTGAACCGCCACTCTAAGGGCCCATTCACGCATAACGCCTGAATGTACTGATCTGTGCTGTACTGCACTAGAGACCCCAAATCATTGGATTCACAAGTTCCAATCACCTCCATGGCCACAGATGTAAAAAGTCAAGCACCTAGGTATGCAGACTGCTTCTACAAACATTTGTGAAAGAATGGGTCGCTCAGTGAACGCAAGCGTGGTACCGTGATAGGTTACCACCTGTGCAATAAGTCCATCCGTGAAATTTCCTTGCTACTAAATATTCCACGGTCAACTGCTAATGATGTTATAACAAAGTGGAAGCAACTGGGAACAATAGCAACTCAGCCACGAAGTGGTAGGCCACGTAAAATGACAGAGCGGAGTCAGCGCATGCTGAAGCGCACAAGCCGCAGAAGTCGCCAACTGTCTGCAAAGTCAATATCTACCTACCTCCAAACTTAGTGTGGCCTTCAGATTGGCACAACAAAGTGCATAGAGAGCTTCATGGAGTGGGTTTCCATGGCCGTGCAGATGCATCCAAGCCTTAAATCAAGTGCAATGCAAAGCAACAGATGCAGTGGTGTAAAGTACGCCGCCACTGGACTCTAGAGAAGTGGAGACGTGTTCTCTGGAGTTCTTCTGTCTGGCACGTGTCTGGGATTGGTAGTTGCCAGGAGACTGGTACTTGCCTGACTGCATTGTGCCAAGTGTAAAGTTTGGTGGAGGGGGGATTTTGGTGTGAGGTTGTTTTTTAGGGGTTGGGATTGGCCCCTTAGTTCCAGTAAAGGGAACTCTTAAGGCATCAGCATACCAAGGCATTTTGAACAATTTCATGCTCACAACTTTGTGGGAACAGTTTGGGAATGGCCCCTTCCTGTTCCAACATGACTGCACACCAGTGCACAAAGCAAGGTTCATAAAGACATGTATGAGCGAGTTTGCGGTGGAGGAACTTGACTGGCCTGCACAGAGTCCTGACCTCAACCCGATAGAACACCTTTGGGATGAATTGGAGCGGAGACTGTGAGCCAGGCCTTCTCGTCCAACATCAGTACCTGACCTCACAAATGCGCTTCTGGAAGAATGGTCAAACATTCCCATAAACACACCTAAACACACCTAAACCAGCCTTCCCAGAAGAGTTGAAGCTGTTATAGCGGCAAAGGGTGGGCCAACTCAATATTGAACCCTACAGACTAAGACTGGGATGCCATTAAAGTTCATGTGCTTGTAAAGGCAGGCGTCCCAATACTTTTGGCAATATAGGGGTCTATTCACGAAGCTGCCGAGGGCAGCCGAGTGAATGACCGATCTGAAGTGAGCCGAACACTGTTCGGCTATTCACTTCAGGCTGGTACGGCTAATTTCAGCCGTACATCGGCTGAAATCAGCCGTACATCGGCTTGCTTCGTGTGGCTTCGGGTCGGCCGAACATGCTCAGCATGTT